TATTTACAACTTTAGCACTGTTTCGTTTATCGCAATTTTCATTACGAAGTGTAGTTACATATGTATGTAATTCAAAACACTACACAAATAATCATTAATGATTATCCAGTTATTTAATAATATCACTTAATTGACGAGTGTATGGTTTGCTCCTTAATTAACTATTATTTCTATTTCTTTTGGATTTGTTGTTATTGTTCTGGTTTTGAATTTATTGTGAATTTATTAAGTTAGCTGTGTATGTTAGTAAAGGTTTGAAAACTTTTTTTGGGAAAGTGGATTTGTTTTTTATGTTAAGTTTGCTCGATTTTAGTTATTTATTTATTTATTTTTTTTTAATTTGCTTGGTTTGTATTTATTTACGAGTTTTCTTGTTTTGTTAATACAAAAGGTATACATGTTGTTGCTGTAATGTTACTACTCTCAATAGTGATTGTCCAAATGTAGAGAAATTGGGAGAGAATTAACTAAGATAATCATTAGACATGTGTACTTAACTACTTTACAATTACTTTAGAAGAAACATTTATCTACAAATCTATCTTTTACAACACTTTTGGCAAAGTTTTTCATAGGGAAGAGATTCGTAGTGTTACTTATTTGTTTATGGCCTTAATTATTTAATTTTGAAATAATTTGAATTTTGCTTTATAAAAAAAAACTCATTAAAAATATGTAAATATTTAAGGCCGTTTCCAGAGTGCATAGTGAGCTCGCATTTAGCACAAAAATTTAAGTTAACTGCTGAATGTGATTGAACTCTCTACTGTGAAAACAGCTGATAAAAGTACCTGTGTACATAAGTATACCCGATACAAAAAAAAGGTGGTCCAATATAATTTTTATGGAAGAAACTGCACAACATAGTCTGCAAAAAAAAAATTCAAAAAATGCAACTTCAAACTTGCACTTGAATTGAGTTTTTAACTTGGATCTATACGGTTTTTGTTAAATAATAAACTATACTTTTATAAACAAAAAAATAAAAAGTGAAATAAATTGTAAAACTTTTCAATATGTGGTGCGCTTTAAATTTTGACACGGGATGTATATAGTATGTTGCGATATGGTCTATATAAATTAATAGCTACTATTAACGATGTGTTTAGATAAGTCTAAAGTCAATAGCAAAGTAAAACGAAATATAATATCCAGTGACTAATAAGCATTTTGATTTCGACTTTTTTGCAATACCACCCAAACTATGTAAATTTAATAGAATTGCACATATTTCTCAGATTTTTCCATGAATAATTTTGTAAAATATAAAGGTGTACACAGACGTGTCAAGATAATTATTATTGCCAGAAAATGGCTTAATGTCGAAATTAAATCTCGAAAATAACTTTCAAATCGGAAGAGTTTTAATTTGTCTACCATCAGTAAACTATTGAAACTATGTACATATATTCCTGTGAATAATACATTTTTAACCCTTTCGATTTTATTTACTTAAAGACTTTAGTTTGACTTCTTATCTCATCATCTTCCTTCCAGAATTTTAAGTCGGACGCTATGAAATCGTGAAACCAAATAGCCAAACAATGAAGATTTGTATATTCCCTCATGATATTAATACTTTTCGTGGCAAAACTTTTTGAAATTTGATCACTCATATTTATATGCTATTTGAGCTAGTTTGGAAAAAGTTTAAAATTCAAAATTACCCACGTTCCGTTGATGGATGTCCTTTTTCGCTCTGCAATACAACTGTTATCTTTAACAGAACCAGTAGAGAGTATTTAATCAAAAAAGTCAATTCATGAAAGTACTTTGCTTACCTCGTCTGACGTCACCTTTACGTAAGTACGAACCAATTAGATTGACACACATAGTTGTATAAATTTTCATATGGTGTTTTATAAGATTAAATAAAAATGTAATGCAGCATTTAAACTAAATCGTCTAATATGTACGGCAAATAATTTTGTAATCTAACAATATTTTGCTGCTTTAGAAAATATTCATTAACATAGCTACAAATAAAATATAATTGCGGTATTCACTCCTCCCTGCTTATCGGTTTATTTGGTTAAAAAGCTATATATTTTCAGTCTTCAACAAGAGAAACATAAGATTCACACAAATTTGCAGATTACAGAGAGAGTTATTTGCTTTTTTAAGTTCAAAAACTTGCGAATTTTTGTCGTGTGGATGTTGATTTGAATTTAATAATTACAAGTAACCAATGTATGTACATGCATATGTCTATGTTATGTAATGTTCACGGCTTAGTTGTAATTAATAATATAACGAGATAAGGAGAGTGTGAATACCCCTAAAATTATGAACTATGAATAACTACCAAAAAGCTGTCGGTAATTTCAAGTTTGCAATAACTTTACAACATTGTATTTTTATAAGTTTATAACTACGTACGTAAGCATATTTTACAGCTACATATTTATATTCTTTTCATTCAACGAGACGTGTTTATTATAAAAAGATGTGGCGTTAGGTTTGTTTAAGTTGACGCCAGGTTATAACGCCACCATTTCCTTTGCTGAGGAGATACTATAATGTTGAGTTCTCTGAGGCTGAATGCTGGCTTAATCACAACACTGAGCCCCAGGCCTACACATTATCGAATCTTTACTGATCACTCCAAAATTGGCACTGGGTCAGGATCTGTCGTCTATATCGAAGATAATGGGGATGCGCTTCACTTTATCCTTGAGGAATTCGGTATTCCCAGCCAGATATGGGCCAGACAGATATGTTGGAAAACATAACGAACTTGTCCTACTTTAGATGGCAGGACCGCCGTCAGAAACTGGGCTCAGCAGAGACCGAGAGGCTTCGAGAGGATACGGGCGGGCAAAACTCATGCTGCCCTACATATCGAAGGGTCGCGCTAGGTATTTGCCTTCATTGGATAGATTGGACTGCAAACAAGTTGTGGGGCTGTTGACGGGATACTTTATGTGGTACAATCATCTGCGTGTGGTCGGCTTATATGACAACCCCCCAATTTGCCTTTCCTGTCTCGAAGAGGATGAGACGGCGGAATACTTTTTGTGTCTCTGCCCCGCCTTTGCAAGGATTAAGTAAGAAGTTTTTGGCAGCGATTTAAAGCAGATTAAACACAGATGAAAACTGTACAATGGGCGAGAATATTTAGTTCAGAAAATAAATTAAATTGGCAAAAGCAAAGCCATAGGCAGAACTTTTTTATATTAATTTGATAATTTTTGCTAAAGATATGAAAATTATATGTACCACTTTCCTCAATCTCGGAAGGTGTAGGGCAGTGGTTGCCAAAGTAGCGCTAACGCAAAATGTTTGCTTCACGGTCATCGTCGTAAAAGTTCGTAAGCTCTCTCCTACGATCTGTACGTGAAAGGCGAGCTTCTCCATATGACTCCTGTGTGCATAACTGGTTTAATAGATACGAAAGTATCGGCCCACTACGAGCAGACGGGACTGGAGATTACTCTTGGGGTTGCTGACTGGTTTTGAAATACTTGATTATGATTGCCATACCTGCGAATCTTACGAATAGTAATTTCACCAGGCCTAGCTAAGAGATTTTTAGTATTAAGAAACGAACATCCAGTATATTCTGAATTGGGCAGATTTATGTAAATAAACGCGTTTAAAAAGTGCAATCGATATCGCAAATATTTTTAACTAGTTTTGAACCGCTATCCACTGAACGTCAAGTTTCAGAAACCTCAGATTTCGCTTGACTTATGCGAGGATTTGATAGAAAGGTTACGTCGAATTATTCATAAATTAAAAGGGACTAACAATGTATGGTTTATGGTTTAAATTCAGTGGGGAGCAACATTGTACCTAGTATACATATATTGAACCTGCAGAAGAATTGCACCGTAATTTTTAGAAATTTTTTGAACTTATTTTTCGATTCCTGAACGTTGTTATGTATATCAGAGTAGTGAATTAACTAAGTTGGATGAATTTTATGGACAGAACTAACTACATACATACATTATACACATGTATAAACATATATGTACATATGTATAATATAGGTAAATAATAAAATGGTATTCCAATTTGAATTGAGCCATACAATCATCATCGAATAGGAATCACCAATCTTTTGTAGTTTTAGGATCTAGCTACATATATGTATGTACATATAATATTTTACTACTTCTGAATATTTTACATGCACAAAAAATTGCAACAACCTCTAATATCAGTATGTACAAATAATTTTATATATAAGCATGTATTTGAAAAAAAAACATTCATACATATTTGGTTATGAAGCTCACATATTTACAAGGCTGAATAATGTAACTATGTAGATTTTGGAATTAGCAACTTACGACTACCTGAACTTATTATGTAGTTACTGCCAACGCTATTGTATGTAATTGTTAACATTTGATTTCCTTGTATAATTTTTAAATTTTATTTTTTTTATTTTTTTTCTCGTATTCTACTCCTTGGTCGTCTTCTTTAAAAACTAAACATACCCTATTGTTAATGATTATTACTTTAATGCCTACATACCTACATATAAGTAATTAATTCTAAGATTGGATATGAATACGAACAACTGATTTATTGGTTATGAGGAATATGTATGTATATAACTAGTACTCAATTCCAATACCTCTAAGCAATAACGAATATGGTAAAACGATGTATATTGATGTATCCACAGCAAATACTCGTACTAATCGCGTATTTGATGGCTAATTTGGCGCAGTGGCATATTGTGAGCAGCAGTCCTCATGCTCGAGATTGTCAACTGCCTTGTGAGTGTTCGGATTTCGTTGCAGCATTGGCATTGACGGCGCCATCCTCAGCGCTCTGCACAACTTCGGCAACGGCTGGCAGCATAGCAGGTGTTGGTGGTGGCGGTGCTGCTGTTGGAGACACAGACGTCGATGGCGTTTCGCTGTCTTTTGGCATTTCCGGTATCGCACAGGCATCTGCCGCCGAAGTGGAACTGTAAGTTGACATGGGTCGTGAACTACAGCAACTGGTGCTCGATGAGCCGGAGCTCTCTGTCACCGGTGCTGTTTGCAATGAAGGTCATCTAATCGCTTTATCGCTCTCATCAGATGTGCCAGCACCGCCGCTGGTGGCGCCGCTCTCCGGTGCATCTGGTGAAGTGGCCGCCACAGGTGTTGTGGGTGTGACGGCGGCTGTTGGCGCATAAGCTGGAGGCGTAGTAATTGTTGATTGTTGTAGTGCTGGGAGCGCAGCTAGTGGGAGTGGTAGATCCTCTGATTTGGGTGACTCCTCGGTTAAAGTTTCCAGCACGATGATTTCATTGGCATCCTGTGGATTGTAATCGTAGAACACTTTGGATGTATCACCCTGTATGTTCACATCAATTGGCTCATTTAAATCAATCACGGTTGCTGGTGATATTTCCTCCTCAATATGAGAATCGCTTGTTGGGCTTTCTTCGTTGGTTGGCGCAGTGTAGTCGTAAACCTGAGACGAAGCGTTTTGATTTTCATCGGAGAAATCGCCGCGTGGTGGGTCTTTAGGACTATCGACCATTATTTGCACGATGGGCTGTTGCATTGTTATGAGGTCGTCGAAGCGTATGTCTTCGGAGCCTGGACTAATATGTATTTGTGGTGGTTTAAATTTGTCTGGAGTGACAGAAAATTACAAAATAATGTTATTTTATGCGAAATTTCCGCTATATTCGCGTACGATGTTATTTCCTGTATAAAATATTTTATTTATGCAGACCTAAGCGATTTTTAGGGATGGCAATTTTTGTGGTTAAGGTGATGTTAGGGCTAGTGGTAATGCTAATGGTAATGGCAGTGGTTATGGAAATCTAACCTAACCTAGTGGTAATGGTAGTGATAATGGTCTTAGTAGTGGTAACAATAATTGTAATGATAACGGTAGAGGTAGTGGTAATTATAATGGTAATTGTATTGGTAATGGCAATAATAATAATAATGGTTATGGAAACCTAACCTAGCCTAGTGGTAATTGGTATTGTTAATGGTAAGCAAAACATGAATTGTAATGGTAATGGTAGTGGTAATTGTAATAAAAAATTGTAATGGCAATATAACGATAATTGTAACGGTAATGACATTGAAAATGGTTATGTCAATGGCAATGGTAGTGAGAATGGCAAATGTAATGGTTAGGATAACGGCAATTGTAAAGGTGAAATTAATTGTAACGGTAATGATAATTGTAATGGTTTAGTAATGGTAATGACGATGAAAATGGTTATGGGTATCGAAGCGATAATACGGTAATGTTAACGGTAATGGTAACGGTTGTTACAATAGAAGTGGTAATTGTAATGGTAATGGTGATGACAATGGTAATGGCGAATGATGTTGGTACCCAATGCTAATGATAATAGTACTTGAAAGGGTAACATAAATGTAATGACAATAACGCCAACTAAAACACTGCAGCTTACCAATCGCTCCTACTGGTGACACACCACCACCGCCGCCTCCGCCGTCGCCGCCGCCGCCACCGCCCTCATCATCTTCTTCCTCCTTGTACTCCTCACTCTCACGATGTACCAACACATGCACCAACGTTGAGTTATCCGGCCTCAAGCCAAGCGGACCCGATTGCTGTTCCGGTGACGGTTTTGTCACAATCACCTCCGGTGTTGGTCCTTCCGCTGAAACAAATCAAGTGGAATGCATTTTAAGTGAAATGTGTTCAAACGTTTGAATAATACCATCGACACACATACAGACAAAAGCATTTTTGTTAACTCTTAAAGCGCTTTGTGCTGACAAACCTCTTTCAAGCGGTGGCTTTTTACGTATAAAACTGGTGGCACGTTTACGTGTTGGCGTTGGCGCTATTTGCGTAGGTAATTGTTGTAGTTGCGATTGTGATTGCGGTTGGGTTTGTCTTTCGGTGGCTGTGGTTGTGGAGGAAATTGCTGTTGTCGTTGGTGAAATGCCTGCATTGGTGAGGAGGGGAGGGGACGTTGAAGAAAAATACATACATATTTGCTTTAGGGGAAAATGCAAAACGTTGAGATAGACAGACATACATACAAACAAAACATATCTATGTAACATACATATGTACTTGTAGTTTTATTACAACAAAAAGCCTGCAAAAATCGCTGACTACTCCTTGCACGCACTCCATTCAGCTGAGCATTACATCAGAGTAGCACAAAACTACTCCAAGATCACGTGATTCAACGATTTTTGCGGGGAAGAATCAAACCAATACGCACACACATATTCAATGACACACGCACAGCGATAGATACATACATATATACTTTGATTATAACGGTGTATTACAAAATTAAATAATTAATTACAAATGTATAGGAGGTGAATGGATAGTTTTTTACAGTGTAGGGAATGGTTTAAATTTTTTTTATAAATGCGACTACAATTGACAATGGGCAATGGGAAATGGTGATGAAAAGAGAGTGTAATGTACGTGTAGATTATTAAATACATAGATACATATGTATTAAGAAACAAATATAAGAGTTCAAATTCCAAACATTTAAATAAATATTTACAATACATCAAGTGTTGGCAAGGAGTTTGTTTATTTGTGTTTGTCTATTAGATACAAATTTGTGTCTGTTTTGCAATTTCGTGTGTTTCTGTGATCTTTCTTTTATTGTGAATTTTATGCAATTTCTTTTGTTTTTTTTTTTTTGTTGATTGTGCGTGGGTGTGAGTGTTGTGTCGAATTTTTTTGATTATCAAATAATTACTTTTTCTATGCACTGATGGTGATGTTAAGCTATCATCGACTGCATCCTGATGGCGCAAAAAGAAATTATAAATGCTGCGACGGCGATTAGCTCGAGGCGCTTCCACGAATATGCTACCGCTTTTTTTTGTTACACATTGTATTTGTTGATGTTGTAGTTGTTGTTGTGAGATAATTTTTTAGATATATTATAAATATATTTTTTTTTGGGCGTTGTAGTACGGTTTCGTGTGTGGCATTTTATGAAATAATACAGAAATTATGAGAAAAAAAAAATAAATTTAAGTGATATTGAATTATTTTAGATTTTGCTTAAGTTTTAAGCTGTTTGGTCCTAAAATTTTTTTGATGATTAGCTCGCTTTTGTGGAGCTTATTTGAAATTTGCATATTTTTGACGAAAACTTGTTGGAATATATTTTATATATGTAGCTACAACACTGATTTCACTGGGTTAAACAAATTCACAGTTATATAACTTTTTATATGTACCTAATAAAAATAATCACTAAATACATTGACTTCATTATATTCAATCTTTAAACTCGTTAAAAATCGTTTGAACTCTGCCCGAATCGCGGAATTCGATATCGAATGTAACTAGAATCGAAATTTGATTTTGAGAGCACGGCATTCAGTAGCAAGTGTCAATTTAAATTGTATTGGTGAAAAAAGAATTCGATTGGAAACGAGTATCATTCGATTACGAATGCCGCGATTGGGGCGCTGGTGGTTTTTTTTAGATCAGAGAAAAAAAAACAAGTTGGCTTTTGAAATAATTTCCTTCATGAGTTTAGAGTTTTTTATGAGCTTACTAAACAAAAAAGGACAAGGTTGCCAGATGAGCCAAGAACAGTGAACCGTCGGTCTGTCAAGAGCAACGTTATTTTTCAAAATATAAAATTATTATTATGACGGCGGGTATACTCGCTTTGCGGCCTTAAAAGATGCATTGTGCTAAACCCTAATTGTAGTCATTGGAGTGACTAAGAAATTAAATCAAGCAAATTGGAGAGTTTCATGTTCCTAATTATGTATGGAGCAGATAATCGTTCCCCAAGTATATCAGTCATATGGGAATATCCTCTGGGGTTTCGTCCACCAACCACCTAATGATGCAGAGAAACCGAAACCGGAGAACCGGGTTCTTTACAAAACCGACCGGTTCGAAAAACGGTTCCAATGGATTCCAAAAAAGGATTCCAAAAGAACCGAAACTCGATTCTAAAATAACCAAAAAACGGCTCCGAAACAACCGAAACTCGATTTCAAAAGAAACGAAAACTCGTTCCGGAGGAATCGAAACTTGATTCCAAAAGACTCGAATTTTTGTAAAAATTTGTATATCTTTTTTATTTCGAAAGGGCCCATTTGCGTTACCACTATTTTGAGCACCGGAACCGGTCCAAATTCCCGATTATTCTTGGAACCGGACTCGGCAGAACCGGTTCTTTAAATACTCGCACATCGCTACCACCTACAGAACTTGCAGTCCGTCTCTACTTGCAGTGCCCTGTCAGGTAGCCCGTAAGAGTTCTAAGACGCTCCCGGCTAAGTTCAAGTAGTCTTTCGGAGCTCCTCCATGCAAGCGCATTTGGGCTCCACGTTTTCAGCCTTCTCGATTGCGAAGTCTTCCGCTTGGAATATTGTTGGCTATGTGCCCATTGGCAGACTTTTCTGGAATTTTGGTCTAAGTAGGGCTGCCTCAGTACTACCGTCGTCCATCTTCGATTCATCGATATACTATAGATACTATCGCTTCACTGCAGTCCCTTTCAGAAATTCTGACCTTGTTGTGCTTGCCAAATAATAATTTCAGTGGCTTGAGAGCCTCGAAGTGGCCCAAAGATCCCCACTCTCCATGCCGTTTGCGTTGGGCAGGCATCCTTTTCAATCAGAATAGACAGTGACATGATACCTGTAATCACACCAAGGGCAGCCGTAAAACCCACTCGTAGTCTTGTTGCTAACATTCGAGGGATGTGAATTCCAACTGAGCCTTTTGTCCAGAGTTACCTGTAAATAGTTCGCCTCTGCTGATAACTCAATGTCTTTCTCTGCCACGGTGGGCCTAGTCAAGTTGGTTTTCCTTCTATTGGTGAATGGGACAATGGTGGACTACTTCAGTGGGTTCATTGACAACCCCTTTGCACCACAAAAAAAAAGTAGTATGTCACAAAAAAATTTGCTGAGGGTAGAATAATTGTTATTATTCAAAAGTCGAAATGATATTTAGTTTATTGGGTGGGGCCTTTTCTGAGGATGTACTCAAAAAAGCAAACTCTTTTTTCGCAATTCCCAGACCAAAATTCGAAATATTTAATGATCTTTCATTCCCGTATCCAAATAACTTGTAAGTACTTGTATCACAAGGTTCATGTGGCAACATTGTTAAAAGAGATAACTGGATTTAGTCTAACTTTATTGTAAGCACAATTTTTTTTCTATGGAAACACTTTGTGGGCCAAATATACACATTCATGCGGGAAGTTTTTGCAATCTAGTTATACTGAACTTGTTTGTTTTTAGTTTTATTTTGTAAAGGATATTTTTGGAAAAAAACATTTGGGACATAAAAATGAGTAACAGGATCCATGCTAACATTTTAACAAATAGATTTCCAACGTAACTCACAAAGGTATATTCTGAAGACTAGTTTCTATTTGTGCGTCAATGGTATAGAGTAATCAATTTTTAATTATGAGAAAATGTTTTCGACGGTAAAATGATTGAAAACCTATAAGTGGGTACAAGTTTTTACGGACTCTATGCCGGGATACAAAATATCTTAAAATTACGTTGAATAACTGACAACGCTCTCTGGGCCACGTCGCATTCATTGATGCGGCAAAAAGACCCTTGATCCGCCGAGACCATCCATTATCACTATAGAACGCCAAGTACATCAGAACCTGTCTTATAGTTATCTAAATATCTTAATAAGCTGGTAATGTATGTTTGTATTCTTATAAATACGTACCGTCTTTTCAAAAAATAATTAAGATAATTTTAATAAAAATATAACTAAAAACACTTATTTTCCATTAGAACTGTAAGTCTACTCGCGCCGATATGCGTCCAACTAGAACATTAATTAACTCAAATTTTCTTGTTGCTTCATCGTTGTTTGTTCTTTGCGCCTAACAATATTCAAAATGAATTTTCCAAATTTTGAAAGTTACGAAAATTCATTTTGAAGATCGTTAGGCACAAAAAATTAATTAATTTCACTCCGAACATTATTTCGCATTTTACGAGTATTACGAGTATTCAAATTCAACACTTGAAAGTGTGTTACGAGTATTTTAATGGAACATAATCGAGTTTTAAACAAACAGTGAAGAGAGGACGTGTTTAAAGCCAAACGTGGATAGCTTTGAGCGTGACAGTGGTTGCTATGGATGAATGTGTCATTGGAAGAGAAAAAAAAAAAAATAGTCTCGCACATTAGGCTGCATGTCTATTGTGTAATTGTAATTGACAGGATTAAAGGATTTGTGACTTGTTTGTATTTTTCTTTTTTTTCGAACAACAAGTAACTAACTCTGACTTTTAGGTACTCATATGCAAGTGTTGTTTTAAATTTTTATGTAGTTTTTGTTTCCACTACAAGCATAATTAACTAATTTTTCAGTAAATATATTACAGCGCTAGAAAGTCCGAAGTATTCTATTTAAAATAAAAAATAATAAGTAAATAAATTATAAAAAATAGTTTATGCCACTACTTACAAATTGTACTCATCGAATTTGTTTTACGTTTTGTATACATATTGGTTGGTAATATAAACTGAAATATTTGCAAATTGTTGTTAAATTAATAGGAAATTGACAAATGCACAAAATAGTTGCAATCATTCGATGGAAGTTCTGTGTGAACATTTCTTTTTACAAGTATGTATGTTGATAGTACGAGTATAATGTGAATGAAGATAAGAGCGAGTAAGTACAAAAGTATGCACTTATTTAGATTTATTATGAGAAATGCAAGAATGCAATCTGAATGAAGACCAATTTTACAAAGTCAAATTTTAATTTGTATGCGAAATGCGTCTATATGTAAAGATTAGTTGATTTGTTTGTTTTTTTTTTTTTTTGTATGTACTAAGTTTGAGACATTTGTGATATTTATAAGGCATATGATACGTATTAAGTATTAGGTATGCACGATTTTGAGTATTTAAGTACATGATACGTTTTTTTTGGTTTTTATTTATTTTTTGTTTGTTTTTTTTTTTTTGCTACTCTAAACTAGATTTAGACTACCGCCTACAATTACCTCTTTCACAATCATTGAAATTTGCTAACAAATTTATATCACTTGACTGTGAGCCACTTCGTAAAACGTTTGAGACCATATCTGCGAGCAATGACTCATATGTTAGGGAGAGACAAGAGGACATTCTAGAAATAGGACTTAAGACACAAATTTTACATTTTTTTTTTTTTATAAAAACAAACAAAATGCTGTTGCATAAATGGGTGCTAAGTATTTGATATATATAGTAAGTAAGTAAATAAGTATATGCAATTAAATTGTATTAGTTTCGTCAAAAATTGCAATGAGTAGATATTACATTGATTAAGAATTTTGTTGAGTCATCAATTTTGAAAAAATATATATAAATATTTATAATTATATAATAATTAGTACCGCTTGCCAAGTTCCTCGCTTTGCTGCTTGATGTCCTTCACAACATCGTCAGCGCCAGAGACCAACATCAGCGGCAGGTTGAGCCAAGGACCGGCTAGTTCGCTCAGATCGGAAGCATCAGAGGCACGTGAGGATTTGCGTGAGGACGCACGGCTGGAACATTGAGTACCGCGACGACTGACCTGTTACGAATTTGAAAATTGAAAAAGAAGTTGCAATTTTTGCTGTGCGGAAAGTTGCCCACTTTTGGTTCATACACTTTGAAATATTTCTGCTTCAAAAGCGTATGAACTAAAGGTCGGCAGGGGTACTTAGTACATATGAATTTGCATTTGTGCATACTTGAAGATGAAAGAAATTGAGCGCAGACAATTTGGACTGCCATCCACCGGGACTTGATGTCTGCGTCATGCTGTCACCCGAATTTGAGCGTTCTTTCTCCTTCTTCATGCTGCAAGCAAATAAGATAGATTTTGGGAAAGGCATAGAATTAGACACGACACCAAAGCATAATTGTAAATTTAAATTTTGCATCATATCAGGTATAGTAAAAAGAATTCCAGATTTTTCCAATAACTAAGATTGGTTCCACTGGACGGCGTTCTCGGAAAAACACGAGATAATGTCTACGCCATATTCTACAGTTTTTCCCTCTAAAATTCGCCCTCTAATTTCGATAAAACAAACAGAAACCAGATCCGACCGTCACGGAACCAAGCACGATGTATGGGTGTCCCCCGAGTCAACTCAAAAAAATCTCAACATTTCTGAAGCGAATGGTAACTGGCGATGAAAAGCGAAAACTGTCTTGTTCGAATCACCAAATTAACTGATAGGAGGGATTCAGAGGATTAGCAGGAAATCATTCACTATGAGCTACTCCCCAACGACAGTCTTACTACTCTTATTTTTGACCTGCACTTCAACAATTGGGCCGTTTGAAGCAAGCAATCACCCCATAGCGGCTGGTTTTGGCCAGTAGGAGGTGTGTGTTCCATCAGGACAACGATGAGCCACACACAAAGAATCGCCAGAAACTCCAGAAGCTTAGCTTGGTTGGGAGACTCGTATGCATCCCTTTTAAAGTCCAGCCGATTTTGGATTATCTTGCCAAAAAAAAAAAAAAATAGTTTGAATATGCATTTGCGATAACTTCAAAATAAGACTTTCTTCTCTAACAAAAAAAAAGTTGCGCGACAAACGTTGTTAGTGAATAGAGATGCCGCGACCCACAATAAAATCTAAATTTTTTTACCTGGGTCCCAAATCGGCTGCACATTCTAGAAGATTCTTCGATTAAAAAAAAAATAAAAATTGGCGAGCTGTTGTTGTTAGATTAGGGATGCTCTGCCGAAATCCACAATCCGCAATAAAATCGGTTTTTTTTTAACTTTAGACCTAAAACTTCAACGCCTATTTCTAGGGATTTTTCGTCTCAAAAAAAATTTTTACTGGAATCCGCAATAAAATTTACACGTTTACAAAAACACGGGTTTTGACACCCAAACATAGGGTCCAATCCCGTATTCCTCGAACTAAAACTATGTAGTAAAACTGTCAAAAAATAAAAAATCGCTCAGAGCGAGAGAGTAACACTGAAAAGTACGGGATCGCGTTCTAGTAAAAATGGTAACTTCTGAAAACTTCAACATAACCTCCAAATTTTGATTGTAAATATTTGCTTATTTTTGATGTAAACACATTCAGCTCATACATGTAAATAACCAAAAAATACTTTCACTTCTTTACAATTTGGTTTTCAGACACACTACAACTGATCGTGGAACTGGGAACTTCTCACAGAGAGGACCTTATTTACTCTCTTTTTTGTTCTCTCAATAATCAAAGAACCGAGTACGGCATCGATTCCCAGTAAAATTTGGCTAATTCTGACTATTTCTGACTAGTCCGGACTCGTACGGGATATTAAGAATCGGAAACATTTTTGTTAACACATTTTCAGTGGTAATAAAAACTATGTATACTTTTTAAATTTAAAATTTTTTTTATCTTCTTCTTACCGCTGATATTCGTGCCACGCATTCTGTATAGTCTTAGCCGCCTTCTCTTGTCGCTTCCAAATGCGCGTCGACGAAACAATTTCCAACTCTTTTCGTGTGGGGAATTGTTTCTTGAATTTCACGTCCATTTGTTCCTGCAGCTGTTTGAAGTTGTCCGTTTCCTCGACATGACCCAACACATGTTTGACTAGTGCGTGTAAAATATCAAGGCAATGAATTTTATTACCCCTCGATATCGGCAAATTGAATGAGACCAACGCCACAGTGTTGGGCTTCGAAATGCCAAGCGGTGGATCGAGCGAGGCAATGAAATCCGAAAGTTGACCGAAATGTATGAATTGTGTAGCGTGTGGGTCGTATCTGCAGTGAAATATGAAAAGAAAAAGTGTAAATGGAATTTAATTTTAAAATCGTGCATATCTACATATATGCAAAGTCTATAAGTACTAACTTGGACCATCTGATATAGAACATCTCCAGATCGTCTTCGACAATACCGATCTCTTCCTCTTGATGTGCCTGATTGAAATTCTCCAAAATAATTGCAATGTACATGTTAATCACAATCATATAACTGATTATAATGAAACTAGTAAAATAGGTGATGGCCAATAGGGGATGGCCGCAGTCTCCGTTCGTTTGTTTATTGAAGAAGGGATCGCAATCGGGTGGTTGAATCATCAGTGATTCCAGCACATCATTCCAACCAGCGGAGGTCATTAGCCGAAACAACAGCTGCATGCTGCGTCCAAATGTCTGAAAGTTCACCATATCATCTAAGGCGCCCTGCAGCTTAACATGGCCGAACAGCGACATGCCCAATATGGCATAGATGAAGGTGATCAATCCCAATAGTGCGCCAATATTAAATAGCGCCGGCAGTGAGACAACTAAAGCGAACAACAGTTTACGTATACCTTTGGCCGCTTTAATGAGACGCAGTATACGACCGATGCGAAAGACGCGAACCACACGCAAGAGGGTTGGGCTGATGGGCAAATCGATCATGATATCCTCCATGAGGATGCCGAAAATGGAGGCGAGCACAAGTAGGAAATCGAAAACGTTCCATGGCACAGTAAAGTAGTGATAACGCAAACCGATGATCTTGACGATCGCCTCTGTTGTTGTGGGAGGCGAAACGAAATTTGGGATTTAGTGCAAAACACAGTGGATTCGAGCATTAATAAAAAAAAAAAACAAATAATAAACAGAAACATGCAAATTGATTTTTATTTATTAAAGGAGGGTATACATACATATTTTATGCGTGTATGGTACTTACCCAGACCAAAGACGGTGGTAAAAAATGCATTGCTTACTTCGAGTATAAAAAACACAGAATGCGGTTGATTGTAGTGCTCGATACCCATTGTTAACATATTTAAAAAAATCAATACAAATATGGCTATTTCGAATCTGGTTTGTTGTTTTGTTGCATTCGTTATTGTTGTTGTTGGAGTTTCGTGTTTTTTTTTTGTTAAGTGTTTCATTGACGTTGACAGTTGACAGTCATCGTATTTTAGTTGTATGTGTTTTTTGTTGTTGTTTTGTTGTAGTTTCAGTGACGTATAACATGTGACGTCAGCCGTGGGAAAAGGGGGAGAAGAGTTATTGAAAAAATAACACATTTTAGTTATATTCTTTGAAGGAAATATATTTTTAAATAACTTATTTACATAACAAACAAAAAATGCATTTATTGTTTATAATAGGAAATTCATATTAAAATTAGAATTAGAAGAAAAATTAATTCACTTAAAAATAATAAAATAAAAATCTGTGCAAATTAAATATATTGCAATATGAAATTGAAATACATATAGTATTGTACTACTTGTGTGGAGTTTGGTTTTAACACTCAGTACCCTAATTAGCTGAAACTCCAATTACTCTACGCTAAATTCATTCTACATATGTATTTCATTTAATAATTTTACTAAGATGATTTGCCAAAAATAATTATGGATAATTCCTCAATAAAATTTATTTATTTTAGATCGTCAAAGTATGGTGGCCTAAGTAGGGCTGCCAACATTTTCTAAGATATATATAGTACTTTTTCAAAAAAATTGGAAAAACTATAGTACACTTCAAATATATATAGTATTTTGTTTAAAAGAAAAAGTAAACACTTAAAAATGATGGAAAATTTTTTCCTGTGAATGCCGAAGTTGTTGGAATAGAGAGTAGAAATGAAATATTTTTAAGTAAATTTGTTAATTCTTTCTCAGTTATGTTACATTTTTTGATTATAGCCTTTTTGGTTATAAACTCACAATTACCTTTTATTTTAAAGAATATTTCATTTAATATTGTTATTTCAGTAAAACAGTCATCCATTTTAATACACATTTTTTAGTGTATATTATTGAAATATATTTGTATTTACGATTGAAGAAATATAGTATTTTTGCGTACTAAATTTTTTTCCAACAGTATATAGAACGCCGACGGGAAAAATAGTACAATATTATATATTATAGTACGGTTGGCAACCCTAAGCCTAAGGTGTCGCAACCTGCTCCTGAACAGGCAGGCATATTTATATCTATCTTCCACTTGCTCCTGGTAGACGCCATAGCATTACTTTTTTCCAGCAATAATCGACTTGGTCCAATCAGACAAATTACTTCTAACAAGCGTCTACAAGGGGGCTCGGTTCTCAGTGATATGTCTCTCTTCACCGAAGAGCAGCAGCATCTTGCTGTCCCACCAAACCACGTGGCAGGAAATCTAAAAAAGAAGGTTAAAGCTTAGCTTAACTTAGCGTTGTCCAGATTGCTAAGTCGTTGTAAGTTGCTACGGCCCTAAATAACATAAGATTTGCACGACAGGGGTAATGGGGTAGTTTTCTCTAATTCACTGCACTTAATAAGACCAATCCAGCTGCCCTATTTTGTAAGCATCTACAATTAGAATGTAGTGGTTTACGTCACGTCGAGCATGTCGCTATTTTTTAGGATAGTCAGGCGGCTATTAAGGCCTTAGTCGAAACTGATCAAGCAGTGTTGGACTCTTTTAAACGCAGTAATTAGCTAGCTAGATCTAGATTTAGTTTGGGTCGCTTGTCCTCGCAACATTCCCGGAAACGAGTCTGCAGACGAATTAGCCAAAGGAATCTTTATCCACAATCTTCAGAAATCGTATCAAAATTAGCGCGCGGCGGCAGGCTGCTTTATATCCAAACACACGCGGCCCGTACACCACCCTAAGAGAACACACAACTTATTCAGAAAACTCAGACCGAACGTTGCGAGGCTACTAACGATTCTTGCTGGGCGGTTGACACCCACGCGAAAATGCTTTGCAAAGCTCTAGCTTCAATGACGAGCCGGAATGTAATACTAGCAGCATATGAGTTCAAAATAACTTCCTGATATAAGCATCCACAACATACTCAACTTTAGCAACCCCCCTGGTTTGGTCTAGGAGGTATATGAGGAATATGGTATCAAAATTGCACTTAGCTGCTACTTGGGCGTACAAGTTTTTTCCGCAATTCTAACCTAACATAAGCTAAAATATTTGTTACTTCATAGCTCAATATTGGATATACATATGGTCTAACAACCGAACTAGAGAAGCCTTCTCACAGCGTTGGGATGTGTTCTCCTTCTAGTGGAGTCTTTTTTTTTAGCTCTGGTGGAGTGGCCGACGGTGTTTTATGCCTTCTTGTAAAGGATACAAGTCCAAATTAATGCAGCGCCTGAAACGCTTTGATGCGTCACGTTGTGAACTCTCCAAGTCCCCTCAAGGCATTTATTATGGCCTCAGGTATTATGGTTTTGAAGCCTTTGAAGCTAAAGGGCGATATACGTTACTGTTGACGGTGGGAGAAAAGTGGGAGCTGACCATAGTCTCAAGGAATTTAAGCACACCAAGAGGAAGAGTTAATAAGACTGATATCCTTAAAATAGGCTCTGGATATGATCGAGATCACTCCACAGCTCGTTTCGCGGGTATGCATAAGTGGTTGAGCATGTTTTTCCAAGAGTTTTTGTATAAAGGTTTTTTTAATAGTAAAATTACACTTCGAAGCTTGCCTTTAGCTGCCGTTATCACTATTTTTCATTGTCTTTCAAGGCACGAAATTTGGGTAGGTCCCAAAGTAAGCACCTCTGATCACTCGGCTAAGTTGACAAACCGAGAGTTCATCTTTGTGTTATTGCTTCTTATACAACCTGACAGCCTCTGACTTCGGACAATTCGTATATCCTCTAAGCAGGGGAGAGGCCGTACAGGCAAATCATCATAGCTTTAAAATGTTGTAAACTCTAAGAACAACTAAATATACTAAAAATCAACAAATAATAATAGTGATTTGCCAAATACAACAAGCTACTAAGTAAGAAAAGTAATATAGGATTAAATCAATCAGGAATTAAGCAAAGTGAATGTATCTAATATGAAACAAATTCTATAAACATCGAGCAACTAATACGCTTGCAAACTTAAAACATAAATCAGCAAACAACAATGAGAATATGAAATGGCCTTTTCACAATGATGATTTATGCTCGGAAATCTATTGGTTTCGTCTCTCAACTAAACGGAGATCATATGGAAAGGTGTTACATACAAACATACTGGGAAGTGTGACACTACAAATAAATAAATACTTTTTCATAAGACCACTAATATTTTCAATGGATTTATGTACATTCCCAGGTAGTGTAATCAATACAAACACTTACAGGATCGGAAACAGTTCCCATACAATTTATGCACATTTATACAACACTAATATTGAAATACGAGTACTTATGGTAGCTGGGATTTTCACTACATAGTATTTACTTAAGTAGTTAGATAGTGCGTAGTAGGTACTATGTACATACATAGATAGTACAAAAACAAGTAAAGAGTTTTGGGGTCTTCTACGCTTACAGTTCTCCCAAAATAGGAAACTACAAACTGTAGAATACACCGCAACAATCGGTTCACAGAGTGGAGGCACTTTTACTCGCAAATAGAGAAGAAAGCAAGTGTTTAAATAATTTTATCACCAAATCATTCTTCGAACTCATTCAGCTACGGTTAGCTAAATTTGTTTTTGGATGTGTTGTGTATGTAAGTAGATAGATACGAGTATTTGGTAAGTTATGCACTGTAGCAGTAAAACCGTAATGCACAGGTACTATATTATTTACACATGGAATGTACCCTAACTATGTAAGTATGTATGTATGATTATAAAACGGTAACACTTTTTACCAAAAATTGAAGAAAACCACTTTGAAAGATTATAAGCGGTTTCGATGCAAATTACATAAGTACGCATTACGAGTACTCAAAATAACACAAAAAAAAAAAAAAAATCATTGCAATAAGTTTAACGTGAGTAGGGTTAGTAGTCAGATAGAAAAGTTATGTTAAGTAGTTAGGCATGTTAAGGGCTTAGACACGAGTAGCTTGAAGATTCTCATTTTTTTTTGTGAGTAAACTATGTTGTATTAAGGTTATGTGAGTTAGAGAAAGTGAGAGAGTGTGAAAGAGCGCACAGGAAAGGCGTTGATTAAGAGACAGGTGAGTTTTATGCATTTCTATATGTTTGTATGAAGGTAGTTAATGCGGTGTTACTGTACTTGAGCAATTCTAGAGTAAATAGCGACAGCTTTGCCAAATAAAACAGTTACCTTAAAAAAAAAAATATTTAAATAAAAAAAAACAAATGTGTATCAAATAGAAATATGTATGTAAGTTAGCAGCTATAGCTTATCAAAAGAAAATAGTAAATCAAAATCAAAATTTAAACTGAATGCAGTTTATTTTGTATAAATCATACTTTTAGCATTTGATCATTACCTTCTCGAATTCGATAAATCATAAAACATTGCTAAAAAATGATTTATTGGTCGCTTAATGACTTTCTGTGGTTTTTTTCGTCCCAACTTTTTCATGGCGGTGTAATAGTGTTTTTGAGATTCGGTGAGAAACATTTCCAACACTCCTCCTTCATACTATGGAACGATGAAAATAGATTTTTAATATTTACACATAAACACCATAAATGTTTTTTTTTTTTGGTTTTGTTTTTTTAGTAAATCTTAAAAAATCGTATGCGCGTGTGTGCTGTTAATGTCAATGTTAAGTATTCAAGTGTGGGTATGTTAGTATGTATGTATGTTAACATTTATACACTGAAAAAATATGAAAGGCGAAATTACTTTTCGGCAAAAGTTGCCGCTCTTGCCGAAAAGTACTTTCTTAGATTGAGTTTATGTTTTATTTGATTTTTTTTTGTTCATTCTGTGTTGTCATAAAGTACTGCAGTGTGTATATAAATAATTTTTACAACATCAAATTATTTTGATGCATTTATCAGATAGGTTACATTCTCCCAGCGTATATGTGTATTTGTATTTGTTTGTGTTAATGTCGATTAAAAAATTTACAATTTATTTATTTATGAATTGCAAAAATCGGTTAATACCAAACCTGCTTGTCATACGCCTTGGTCCAGCCACACTTACCTTCTTCTTGAGCATATTGAAATTATCGATAATAACTCCAATGAATAGATTGAGCGTAAAGAATGAGCCGCACACTATGAAGATGACGAAATAAATGTAGGCATACAAATTGGCCTCGCGCTGCGGCTGCAAATCGACGCCGCGCGCATCCACTGCATCGGCCATCACCTCCATCCAGCCCTCGAAGGTGGCCACCTGCAGCAGCGCCAAATAGCCCATGCCTACGTGATCGAATGTGATCTTCGAATTGATCCAAGTGTAATTCTGCTTGATGCATTCGGCTCTGTCGTTCACTTCCTGTTTAGTAGTTTAAATTTTTTTGCATTAAAATGAAAATAAAGTTAATTAACGTAGACAATTTCTTTAAAACAAATATTTGCATAAAAAAAAAAACAAATTCCTATAATAACAATGTATGTATAAAAAAATGTTTAAGTGATATTTTAAAAACTTTGTAACACAAGTGTGTTGTTTGTAAAAATGTGTGTAAATTTACGTTTGTATGTGTACGAATTTTTTGTCCAATTTGTTTTACTAACCGTCACTGGCAGCAATTCACCATCGTCGTCAAGGCATTTGAAAAATTTACCACCGAAAAATTGTACACCCATTATGGAAAATATCAACCAAAAGACTAAACAAACTAAAAGTACATTAAAAATTGACGGTATTGCATACATGAGAGCATTTACTACAATTCGCATTCCTTGCCACCTGGAATAGAAATAAAATGAAACAGATTCATAGTTTTATGGGGGGATATGCGTTACATATTTACATATTTGTTATTGTTTTTTTTATTTTTATTTTTTGATGGTTTAGCGATTTGATTGAGGTATATAGAGAGGCGCTCAAATGCTTAAGGATAGTTGTGGAGAGAAAACTCAAAAGCATTGAATTTAACTTAAAAATAGCACAAATATACAGCAACAACATTGATTTGGGAACAAACATAAAAAAGTGACAAGCATCAGTGATCAGAGGGTAATAATTTGTAAAATTTTTTGCTTATATACTTGTGGTCTTGAGCCCCCCTTTTTATAGACTACAAAACACTGACGCAGGACTGAGGACTAAGGAGTTCAAGAGAATAGTTTCGTGGTTAAATTCTCATATTACTTCAGAAAAAAAAATTAAAATTTCGAGGCAATTTCGAATTCTTTCCCAATTTTTCGGTAACACCTATATATTCAGCAATAAAAATTCTTTGTTATTATTTCCTTGTTAGCAAAAAAATGGAAAAAGCAACAAAGTCCAAATTTTTTTTAAACATTTCTACTGGAATAATCATAATACTTCCTTTGCAAAAGTTTAATGATTTGTGGAGGATTTACTGGCATTTTGTTGGTAGAAACTGAGACCTGGTGGTTAAGTACTAGAACGGGTTACTTGAGTTCAATAAGCTTTGTAACAAAACAAACTATCTCCTTGAGACAAAAAGGTCGGTATGTCGAAAAATTTAAAATGGAGACCTCCGCGTTCGGCAAAAAAATATCGAAATTGCCTTCGAATCGAAATACTTCTTTAACAAAAGTTTAATTAATTTTGGCCAGCTTTAATTTACTGCCATTAGGGCGGTAGGAACTGAGATCTGGTGGTTAAGTACTAGATTGGGGTACTGGAGATCAATGAAATTTCGAAGCAAAACAATTTTCTCTACAAGACAAAAATATCGATATATCTTGCTTTAAGATCCAGCTGTAAACTTTTTTCTGGTACGGTCTTATAGTACTCACTCAATATTACCTTCTAATAACTGATCTAAAAATTTCAAGTTATATACACATGGATTTTTGTACAAAATATTAAGGTTCATAATAAAAAAGTAATAGCAAAGAAGACATCAATGAAAATGTGGTATATACCACATCTGCATGTATTTACTTACAAAGCGATAAACAAATTCTTGAATCAATATGTTAACATTGCGTTTCTACCATTCTCAAATTGCACAATTTCGATACTCAATTTTAATATTTCCCAAAAGCTCTTCCATCTTGTTTTTAACGAATATTTTATTGAATTTTTTGTACGCTTATCAGTCATGAACTTTTTGATCATAAATTCATACACTGTAAGAAAAATTTTGAATCGCATTCATAAAGTTAAAAGCAAATTTTTTTCAATTTCACCCAAATTAAGACTCAAACCAAGGCATATCAAACAGGTAGTAGCATTACAGCAAAAAAAAAACATTTGCGGGTATTTTGTTGTTGCTTCTGGTATCAAAAGTGCCTAAAACTGTTCTGACTTTTTTCTTCTAAATCAAAGCGTGCCATTTGAAATACAAAAAATAAAAAATTTATTGGAAAAAATGAAAATTGTTCCAACATTCTTTCTAAGCAAATTTTCTTGCTTCTCGAAGTATTGATCCATCTTTTGCAACGCCCAGTCATCAGCAGTTGTGCTGCTGAGTTGGGCGAACGTTCCAGTAGCTGCTATTCAATCGCTTGTTTTATATAGATTTTATCAATTTGGAATTTTTTTTAGAAGAAATTAAAAATATTTGACATTTTCGAGACCAAATAATTTGAAAAAAAAATCAAATCAGCTGCTATACTGATACTACCTATTCAATGCGCCTTGACTCGACCACAATTTTAATTGACAGCTTTTTCTTTGGCAAAATTGAGAATCGTATCACAATTTCAGTTCAAATTGAGAAAAGTGACCAAATTGCGCAATTAAGCACTCGTGGAAACACACTATTAAACTTCAATGAGTAAGGATTTTATTTTATCAAAATTTATTTACGGTTGATCCGAGATTCCTCTCATACTCGTAAATCTATTACAAATCTATTTCAAAAGTATTATGTATCGTTTTTCAAAGTTTAGTAGTTTACGTAACCTTCATGACGAGTGAGTCGCTGGTTTCTTTGAAAGTCGCACAGTGGTGCCAAACTGGAATTTACTGTTAATATTTAAATCGATATGATATATTTTTTTTTACCGAAAGCTAATACAATTTGAAAAAAAAATTGTCGATTCCGATTTTTAAATTTGTATTTGTTTATATTATAATAACTTGTTGAAAATAATTAGAGTTCCCCCAAACGAAAAAAAATCACATGTACAAATTTAAATGTTATAAAAAAATTTTTACCAATTTTTAGAAAAATTGCTAGTTTCAACTGATTAAGATTTTGGACCGATTTTTCATAAAATTTTTTACTTTGCTAGTCATTCCATATAAAATAGATTTCCAGCACACTTTATATGTAAAAAATGCTTAGCACCATCCTTGGGCTATTGCCTGTGGAATATGACATCCTTCTAAATACCCGCCGGGACTTTTCACTGTTTGCACGGATCTGAGAGGAGCAAAATTAATTTTTCGGCCTGAATTTGGCCAATAATCCGGGCTTATTGACAAAACTCTACGACTTCAGAAAACGCCACAGGGAAAAGTATAGTGGGTGAAATCGCTTTATCTCGATGGACGCCGATATTGAGCAATTGGCAGCGTAGGAGATCAGTGAAACACCCTCGGGTGGCTGAGGAAACTTCGAAATATATAGAAATTAAATAATAGCGGGATAAGGACACCACCCGCCCGCGGGGACTCCTTGCTTAATACGTCCTGGGTACGATATTTGAGCTCGAAAGAATGTGCAGCGTGCCATAATAATTTTTAAAGCACTGTATCTGATCCGTACATATGAACATTGGGCTTAGGACTCAATTCACTTCTTACGCTAGCAGGGTAATATGTCCGTTCGATTTCTTCGCCCTCGTAAAAAGTCTTGCTTTGTATTTTTTTACACATAACTATGTTTACCGCTTTGTACACACAGCAGAAAGTACGAGTATGTAGCTAAACATGCTAAACAAAAAACTGTAATAAAATAACAAAAACAATAACAAAGGATAGCTTAGCGACAGGGATAGGGTGTTGAAAAAATGAGGATTTGTGTAAAAGTCTGTGTGCCATATAGCGGTAGTGAGTACATACAAATGTGGGTCATACATTAATACATGTAAACAGGAGTGAGGTGCAAGGTGCGGGCGGACTCATAGACACTTATAGCGGATAAATATATAGTAGGATTCAAACTGTAAACTATGAGTGGGACGCAAAATTTGTCTAGGCGAATTTCCGATTTGGAAGGCAAAGTGTAACACGAATTGCTCTGTGTTTGCAGCACAAAAAGTTTTTCATAAATTTCTGGTATGTAGAAAAAAATCGATGATGTATTTTGTTGTTTGGTAATTTTTTTTTTTTGTAATTTTTTCCACTTTTTGTGTGCAAATACAACTGTACGCAAATTTTAAACAACACAATTATCAACTCTGATTGGGTACGATTTCCACCTTTTGAATTTCGACATAATCTTTGGTAGGAAACAATGGCTGCCTAGTAGGAAGTATAGGAATTACGGTACACGTCAAACATTTACACCCAAATTCATAAAAAAATAAAGAAAACTTTAACTGCTTTATAAATCGAAAATTTGTATGAAATTGTCACTTCATAGACATATCTATAAATCTATTTTATTTTTTATGAATAAGGTCATTACTGTTTTAACAAATTGTATTATTGTTTCTTTTGAATAACGGGAAATACTCAGTACAACTAAGTAAGTACGCATGGTTGCCATTCAAATACAGGATTCTCGTACAGCTATACGGTACTTTTAGGTGTGGCTTTACTTTTGTTATTTCTATTCGAAATTCATAAAGAAGACGATATTGTATTAAACACTTCCAAATTGTAATTTTTTTTTTTATATTTGTAAACATTTAAAAAGAATATATAATAAGAAAGTTGGAAATTATAGTTTTTAATACTCAAAAATAAGAAAAAATACAAAAAAGTGCACACAAGCTAATAAGGCAAATTTGTAAGAAATTTTTAGATGTGTTTAAGTAAACGTTTTATTTTAATAGTAAAAGGTTAAAGTAGCAGACTGAAATCTGAAAGTAGAAATTTGATGCGAAAATATTAAAAATTCAAAGAAATTCACATAAGTAAGTACATAGACATCAATAGCATTAGCACGGGGCATGCCAAAGAGAGTATTTATGTATGTATGAAAGTTCAAGAGAATACATACATACATATTTGTAGGCGAAAATATTTCAATAAAATAAGATGATTTTTTTTTTTTTATAAAGTTTACAACGTAGCATTTTTTTAACTGAGCAGCTCACGTGATGTGTACACCGTACTACTTACCGTGATATGGCACGCAATGGGCGCAAAGCTCTCAATGTACGCAGCGAACGCAATACCTTGAGATTTTCATTCTCTTCGATGAGCAGCGAGAACACGGAAACCTGTGCGGCAAAAATTTTAATGTGCTTCCATTCTACTTTCTATACATTTCGCTTCATAAGACGCCATTCTACTTACGAAGACTATAATGAAATCCAATATTGTCCAAAAACTTGTGAAATATTTGGAAAACCCCAACGCTAGCCACTTTAAGACCATTTCAATGACGAAGATGAGACAGAATGAGAAATTCGTCCAGTAGAGTACACGTTTCAGCGTTTTATTGCTATCCAAGTAGATGTCCTCGAAGCAGAGGGTTATGCTCGATGCAAATATGAGCACTAGCACAAACCACTCAAAGGCTGGAGTATCGACAACCGCCAAGACAGCCGTCCTTATGCGTGTCCATTGTTTGGCGCTCTTCGTGTCCATGCACGACATGAACCATGGACAGCGAAAATAGAAGCTGAAATGAGATCGAATTTTAAGTATTGCAAATGTGATTGGAGAAAAAAAGCTTCGGCAAACGAATTCTAATTAATTTTGCTAGGGAATGTTCAGGCAGCGGAAATGACATATTGTTAATATCGAAAAATATAGAACTAGTTTCCCAGCTTCCCACTATCTCTACTTCTCACAGAGAAATGCCGCGAACGATAGCGTTTGAGAAGAGATTCAATATAGAGCAAATAGTGTAACGAAGCATCTGATGAGGCGGCTCTTGGAGTTTTCGAGAGAAAGATTCTGCGAAAGATTTACGGACCTTTACGCGTTGGTGATGGCGAATATCGCAGACGATTTAACGATGAGCTGTATGAGCTTTACAACGATATAGACATAGTGCAGCGAATTAAAATTCAGCGGCTCCGCTGGCTTGGCCATGTCGTTCGGATGGACAGAAACGCTCCTGCTCTGAAAATATTCAACGCGGGCCGCGATGCTGGTAACAGAGGAAGAGGAAGGCCTCCTCTGCGTTGGAAAGACCAGGTGGAGAAGGACTTGGCTTCACTTGGCATTTTCAATTGGCGTCAGTTAGCACAGAAGAGAAATGACTGGCGTGCTGTTTTGGACTCGGCCAAAATCGCTTAGGCGGTTACAGCGCCAATTAAGAAGAAGAAGAAGAAGTATAACAAAGCAGCCTTTTCTGAAAAGTCATGTCCCTGCAATGATATGTACATGAAACGGCCGAACACTTCTGAAGGAATAACAGCTAGGCAATGGTTCTGGAAAGACAACCAACGACGAGTCCAGGAAGAAGCACAGGCAAAGTGCTTATTTGGACGATATACATAGTTGAAACAGATTTAAATTCCTAATAATAAAACTCTCAAAGGAGAATCTGAAGAGACTGAAGAGTCATCTACACAAACTAGGTATTTTGTCATACCCTTTCTGCAGCTTTTTATGTAATGTAGCCACAGTAAATACCTCCTGATCCAGTATATTTTAAATATCATATCGTTTTTATATCTTATTATACTTACTGATCATAACACTTCTGCGGAAAGCAATCATCTGGCACTTTCGGTGGTTTCGTTTGTCCGAAACTTGGAAAAGTCATGGGGTCATTGTATGCTCCCTGCGAGTTACGCCTCCCACCTACAGTGAGATCGTCTACGTAGGAGACCAGACAATGCCATGGTTTTTCGGTCAGCCGCGAGAAGGCCGACTTTTGTGTTGGTTCGGCCGTCTCCGTTACCATAGCACCGCCTGCAGATGAGCGTGCACCCGGTACGCTGTATCCCAGTGCCAGTACCGAGCTGGTGTCGGCAATACCGCCTGCGCCCGAACTATGCGATTCGGTGCGTGCGGATTGAAAGGAAGCGGCTTTGTCTAGTGTCGATTGTGGATGCTCGGCGAAGCGTTTGGCGCGCATATCGCTAACATCGCCGGCAGCCCTTGGGCGGATGGACGAGGTTGTGGTTGTGGTGATAGTGGTGGAAATGGTGGTTCTTGTTGCTGACGGAATTAGTGATTTTTGAAGTAGTGGTGGTGGAGGTGGGTCATGTATTTTCGAGGCATGGTAATGCTGTTGGTGCTCAGTGAGTGCCGCTAGCGGCGGCGTGGTCTTAATTGAGGATATTTGTGCTAGTGTTGGCGGTTCGAGCTGCGACTTGAGTGATGTCGGTGGCGTTGGTGGTACCGCCACACCCGACGAAGTCAAAGAGGCGCCGTCACGTTGATTACTCTGCTGACGACTCAGTTGTTGCTTTTGTATTAGCAAATTCTCATATGAGTTTGTGCTCTTCAGCGATAGGCTGTCCAGTCGGATGGCGTCTGTGGTTAGGCACTTGCGTGGCAGTTTCTCCGACTCCATGCGCAGCGTTGATATGGGCTTCTCCTCTTCAGGTACTTCATCGACACGTTCGATGAGCGATAGGCGCTTGAAGCGATCGAATTGCGCGCTTAATTGATCGCTCTTATGGCGTGCGAACGGCGATTTAGCGGCCGCTGTAACTGTTGCCGCCACCGCCATCGATTCGATGGTCACGAATGGGGCATGAATTTGATCACAGATTTTGCGTATTTCATTTGATATGCTAAAGTCTTCGTCGATTTTGCGCTGCTTCTCCAAGCTGCGACGTTTAATCTTTACCGAATTGCGATCGGTGCTGGTGAGCAGCGAATGCTGACGGCGCGGCACAGTCGACAGATCGTAACTGTCATACGGGTTGAGTGGGTGTACAACTTCATCGGCGGCAGAGCGCTCAGAGGCGCCTGTAATGACAGCAATATGATCGAGTATGGCTTTATTGGCTTCATCGGCAGCAGGCGACGGCTCTGAGAGTGTGGACAGGCGTCGCTCCAGTGACGTCGTTGAGCGCTTTATCTCTTCCAATTCCTTCTCGAAGCTCTGTATGATGTTGTCGAACTCGGAATGCTCCACCAGTGGCAGCGCTTCATTATCATGCCCATTGCCATTGCTGGACGCATGACTGCCATTGCGACGCTGCTCGATCTGCTGCAATATCGAGTTGGAAATATAGCTCAAGTTCGACTTGATGCTGCTCGTCGATGGCTTGCGTTCATCTTTTCGCACATCAACAATCAACGAATCTGTGTCGGCATCGACAATTGCCGAGCCATATCCAACGGTTTCGCTGAAATAATTATTGCTATTATCCGCATCGTCTTGCAGAAATTGAAAAAGCTCTTTGTGCTCGCAATTCAGCAGCTCATCGCGCAAATTGCCCTGACCTGAAAGTAGCTCTTCATGTTCCATGGAGATGGTATTCAGCGAATGGCCGCTCGAATGTCGACGTACACTTAAATGCAAGTCATCATCAGACTTCAGGCTACGCGAAGGTAACAGCGAACGTTGCGACTGGTCGCTCGACTGCGATAGGCGATCCAATGACTTGCGGTAGCTGGGCGAACGCGTTAACAGTGACTTCTGATACTGCAAGTAGGCCTCATCATGCTCCTCGCTGCAGTAACGCCGTGACGATGTGTCCTGCAGCGAATCGCCACGCATAAACGAACCGCTGCGCTGATCATTCGCATACGGATCGGTATCAGTCGAATTGTACTGGCCCATGAGCCGCAACTCAATGGACTCGGTGTATGTTGGCTCGTCGCGCGAATCGTTGTGTTGCGTACCAAAACCGGAAGACACTTGATGCAGCAGACGACGTTCCGCCTGCGGGTAGAGTGTATTGTAATCGTTGCGGCTATTATTGTCTAATTGGCAGGAGCTAGTTGTTGTCGTGATGCCATCGAATGAGGGCGCTTGCTGTTGCAACTGCATGTGATGTTGTATTTGTTGTTGTGTGAGTTGTTGCTGCTGTTGCTGCTGTTGCAACTCTGTTGTTGACTGTAGGTGGTGTTGCTGCTGCTGCTGCTGCTGCTGGTGTTGTTGTAATTGTAGTTCGGATAGCTCGTGTTCGCTCTCTACGCCGTCAACGATGGTGTGTAAGGTATCCTTGAGTGGAATCTGAAAGCCGAAATCCGAACCGGACACCGGACGATTCATGGATTCCTGTAGACGAGGGAAGAATGAAAAACCGGCAGGTAAGGTAGGTAATGTAGGAGAGAAAGCGAAATAAATGTACCGTTAGTGGGAAACTCACTTGATAACTAAGCCTATGCAGTTTAGTTTCCGTTATTAAGCTCGGCTTTTCGATCACCTTCGCGGCCGCCTGCTGCGCCTCCATAACGATTTGTTGGAACTTTGTCGCATATTTGCGTTCCTTACGCTCTTTGCGTTCCTGTCGCTTCTTGCGTATCAGATCGCGTACGCGTTCGATGCTGCGCGCCAATTTCGACTCTTCGCCGACTTCCTATGAAATTCGGATGGAGAAAGAAGTTTTAGCCATAGTAAAATTTTGAATAGAATGCGTTTTAAGAGAAGCTTAGGAATTGTAAAAAAAAAATAGATTGAGAATTTTTATGCTTGTTTGGCGCCAATTTCGCACTGAAATTACACTACTGAAACGAATACACTAAATCTAAGATTTTTTGGTTACATTTTTTGCAGGTCTTGCTAAGCTACAGAACGCGCCAATTCGAGTCTTATTTGAGTGTGAAAAATACTAATTTACTTAACTGGCATGCTATACAATAAAAACATTCAAATATATTTTTAATTATTTTTTTAATTTTAAGACAATTACACTTAACATTTAGAGTTTTTGAAAATTTAAACAACAAAACCAATGAGCAAAACTTAAAAAGCAGGCAATTTTTGAGAAATTTTAGTTAGTTTTCGGGGGAGCACTACTCTAAAATTATGTAAATGTTTTTTTTTTTTTTGGTTCTTCAAAGAGTAAAATATATTCGGTAAATAGGATTTGAAACAATTTAAAGCTTAGGAAATTACCTTCTTTTTGAAAATCTGTTTATTTTGTGACATAAATATATATATATTTTTTTTTTGGTTTTTTGTTATTAAGTGAATGTGGTTTTAAACATTTGCGGTTTAAAGGTGTAAAAATACATAGTTCAATAAAGAGTTCATAGTTTCATTTCAACACAAACGCAGCGGCGCAGTACATAGTTTCATATTTTTTTAGTTGAACACATTGGTGCATATTTGGTTGTTGTTGTTGTTGTACATAAATACATAGTTTATAATTTTATTTAAAACGTTTATGCCAATAAAAAAATTAAATAAATTAATGCAAAATTTTAGTAGGAAAACAATCAATTTTATAATCGTGTGCAAATATATTTTCCAAAAGAAATTTAAATTTTTTTTTAATTTTTTTTTTTTAATTTAGTGTACATATGTATATTATTTTCAGATCCATATCATTTAAGTTTAAAAAGTCATTTTCGGCACACAAACACACACAGGAATAGAAATAAAACACAGTTTTGGGTAAGTTTTTTGTTTTATGTTTGGTTTGGTTTTAGTTTAGTTTTAGAGGCACAGAGTTATGCAGAATCATTCGTAAGTTATCAACAGTTGAGCGGGAAAACACGATTCGAAGAGAGGAAGACAATAGAAATATATAGAGTTATAGGTTATGTTGAATAATAAAGTAGTTTATAAGTTTGTAAAAAAGGTTCAGCAGTGAGTTTGAGGTGTTTCAATATTTTGGTTCTTTTTTTCCAATTTCAGTTGCCTTACGATGGATTTAAATGATCTCAATTCGATTGTTTACACCGTGCGACAAAAAAATGTAAACAGACGAAGCAAAGCGAAGTTTAGTCTTTCTCTCAGACTTGAAATTTCAAAGATATAATTAGTAAAAAAAAATACTTTCAAAAATTCGGTGCAATATAGACAATGGGTGCCAAATGAAGGTGAAAATTCTGTAGAATTTAAAAAAAATTTGTTTTTGATTCATAAGGACGAAAAGGTTTTGAAAATGCCCTTTTAATTTTTTTTTTTTTAGATAATAAAGTAGGAAGGACAAATTCGAGGATGCGGTCATGTCCATTGATTTTATTCAAAAATAAAACTCGAAAATTTCTTATTCTACATATTCTCTTTTACAGACTGGCATGTCTTCAGGAAACTCTAAGTAGTATCCTTAAATCAACTGCTGTGAGAATATTGGGCCTCATGCATAAAATGTGAGCTTAAACTCAGACTAAATTTATGCATTGATGAAGTTAAGTCAAGCTCAAGGATTTGTACTGAAAATCGAGTCGCAGCTTAAGTTGACTTTTTATGCATGACGCCCATTGAGTCGTTGACGGAAATCTTGACTTCGAAGGCACTTTCAGGCTAATGTTCTGTCCACCTTCGAAAAATAACCGAAAATCTGGCGATCGGGGCATCGTGGGGTTTCTCACCTAGGATAGTTCACTTGATTTAAGCGGCCATTGTGCGTCTGATTTTACCTCACGGAGCCTTTGCCCGGTAGCCTACCCTGAAGTCGTCAACGACGCTTTAACAACTCCAAAGGTTACAAAGGAGTGTGGCGCTATATGATCCCCACTTACTGAAGCTCTGAATGCGATTCCACATCTCATATTTGCTCGAAAGATAGCCGTTATTGTAGTCTTAAAACTCCAATAGGCAGGTTGCTGGACTCATAGTACACATCCGACCGCTCGAGAATCTTAGGGACAATAGTTTTGGGGCACTCGTCACTGTGGGCAGTGAGATCTTTAAAGTTGTGAAGGACTTTGTCTAAATAGGATCCAGCATAATCATCACAAATAAAGTCAGCCTGGAGATCCCAGGTGCTACTTTCAGCTAAGCCAGAATCGAAAAGCACAGCCATCTCTCGACGAACAAAAACTACGCTCTGCAAGTCTCTCATCATGGCCGTTCCTTTATATGGCGCAGAATCATGGACGATGTCGAACAAAGCTGAGACGCCTTTGGGAGGTGTCGAGCGAACTATTCTACGAAAGATCTATGGCCTGTTTGCGCGGACGACGCGTACCAAAATATTAAATGACGAAACCTACCAGGGGGGAGATTCTGTAGCCAGTTAGCGGAAATTTTCGGATAGCTACGGCACTTTCTGACGCAATAACATTCATATCATGCTTCAATAAGCGCGATAGCGATCCCAAAATTGTCGCTAACTGGTTACAGAATCTCCCCCAGCTTTTTAACGACACGTACACAGTTAAGCACATAAGAATACAGTGACTGCGCTGGCCCCGACATGCTATACGCCCAAGCCGACAAAATTGGAAAAGGAATCGAGATTTCAGAATATTTAAGTTTTTTTTTAAAATACCATTTCACACTGTTTAAGTAATTTGGATTCTATAGAGATGATCGAATGGTGCTGTTTGCTTTATATAATTGGTGAAGAATTTGTCATTATTTTCAACTACAAAGCTGTTTTTTCCTCGGAAATATTGAAACACCTTTCGAAAAGTTAAACTTTAAAGTGTAATTGTGTATGCTTTTGCGACTTCTACTGTAATTAAGAAAGTGTTATGTTTGTAATATTTAAGTATTTTGCAATAATGTTTTAAGTGTCTTACTAAGTGTGTTTTAAATCAGCAGAAAGCTTGGAAATGTGTTGATGTGTATATGTATATAGTTATGCATATGTAAAAATAACTGTTTTATAATTATATCACAAATGGCATATTTTATCTTAGAATTAATAAAAATAATCTCATTTTGACAAAAAAGTTGTTGGACATTTTCATTCACACAAATTCAACAAAACTCTTTTGTATGTAAATGTGACTTATGTAAGTATTTAATGTTGAAGTTAATCATTAACATATTTGAAAAAAATTAAAATACAATAAAATAAAAGTAAAATAAAATTTAATAAATAAAATAAAAATAAAAAAATAATTAAAATAAAATTAATAGTAATAATAGATTGGCGCGTACACATATGTTAGTGTTTGGCCGAGCCTCTCCTCCGACTTGTGGCGTGCGCCTTGATGTTATCACACAAATCAAAGGGACCTACAGTTTCACGCCGACTCCGAACGGCGCACAGTGCCGCGAAGGTGGACAAAAATACAAAAATCGACTGTCTTGAAACTTAGATGTTTTGATGTCAAGTTACAGCTAAATCTCCAACTAAGAGAAGTTCATAAGTTATTTTGTGATAAAAACAACTTTCAGCCTCACACACCCCCTCAAAGTACACCTATTTTCTACATACCATTTCATTTCGGAGATTCGCACATAAAAGTGGTCGCAGTTAAAAATTTGTTAAAAATACATTTTTATTCCTAGCAAGATCAACTTTTGCACTTTGATAAAGATATATGCGACAAACCAAAAAAATGTATGGTTCATGGAAAAAAAATTTATACAAATATTTTTTTTTTATTAATAAATAAATATATGATTAAACATACCAAAATCCGAAAATTGGTAAACTTTGGAGACAAAAACAAAAAAACATCTTGAAAGTTCGTGAAATTTTTTTTTTGGTTATGGTAGTTTGGACCTTCTACTAACAGAAACAATCGAAATCTCTTCCAACTTTTTCCAATATTGGAAAATTTTCAATTTTGAAAAAGTGGCTAAATGCCTTTTTTTGGTATTATTTTAGCTGATCTATATTTACAATACTTTTTCTGAATGCCCTAAGATCTATATTTTTGGTTCGCTTTTCAAAAATAAGGTGTTGAATTAAAGCTAAAAGTGCAAAAAAAAAAATTAATAGGTACAGGGTGCTTTGAAATGAAAAAAATTATCAGCTAATTAAAATACTTAAATATGCATCACGGTATGGGAGCCAAAAACAAAGGTATACGAAGATTTACATATATATATATATACATATATATATATATATAGAGCAATGACACCAGTTTACAAATAATATGTTAACCAATTCGGGTAAGGAAATAAATGCAATCGAGACACCTTACAGCGCCCAATGATTAGACGAAAGGCGAACAAAAAGAAAATAAAAATAAATAACATACCTGTTACTCTTCATCTGCATAAAGAGTACTATTTTGCTTAAGCAGCAAACAAAAACAGCTTGCGAAAATGATAGTACAAATGTATGCACATCAGGGAGGTCCAATTTTTTTAAATATATTTTTTTTTGATTGAGTCTTTTTATAATTTTGTTCACCTAACTAATTACATTACCTGTGCAAAAATTTCAACGTTTTACTATTAGTGGAAAATGTTGCTCAACGCGAGTTTAAAATTTCATGAATTTTTCTCTGGTGCTAAGAGTCCTCTCTTGTGGAAAACAAATAAAAACCCAAGAGTTTAGTGTTTTGTTGAACGAAACAAGAGAGTTATACCTTAGAAATTATGGTTGGTATAACATGCCAAGTTCAGTGCATAAAGTTTTAGTACATGAATGTGATGTAATTAAATACTTTGATTTACCAATAGGTAATGATTTTAAAGCTATGTTTTCATTTATTTTCTTAATCTGTATTTCCACCTATTTTATCAGGTTCATTATCAGAAGAAGCCTTAGAATGTTCACACAAAAACATAAGAAAATATCGGCTTAATCATTCTCGAAAAACTGGAAGAGTACAAAGCAATACGGATTTAATGACTCGTTTGATATTATCGTCAGATCCATTAGTTGCATTTAAAAGAAATATAAAACAGAGAAACAAATATTTAAAGGGTTCTGATCTCAGCTTTAATAAATACATTGTTGAAAGTGACGAAGCAGACAAAAGCATGGAATCATTTGAATCAGTGATCACTTCCTCCTCTTCTGAGGACACTGAAACTGAGTGATTATAACAACTAGTTCGGTTTTTATTAACATATTATATGTTATTACCATATAACAGTTATTATTACTTACTTACTTAACAGTGATTATGCTTTATTTTAAATAAAATCAAAATAATTTTTTTTTCTAAAGGTTAACATGTAAGGAAAACCGACTTAATTTTTCAAATTACCATAATGTATTCACTTAGGAAGTAAAGTTTAGACGAATTTTGACTATTAAGACTATTTTTCTGAACACTTAGCAACAATGATATGCCATATTTCATTTTTAAATAATCATGTGCAAAAACTCGGTGTTTTTTTAATGGGTACCCGTTACAAAAAAACCGATTACTTTCTTAAAATTAGAGTAATATAGACACTTCAGATGTAAAGTTTCAATAAATTCTGACGACTCCTTCCGGTTTTCGTAAACACCACAATCAGCAATGATTATGCCTCATTTGTCTTTCATATAGTAATGTAAAAAAAAAATCTTTTTTTTTAATGGGTACCCGGTACCGAAAAATCGATTTAATTTTTGAAATAAGCATGGCTTAACCCTTTTAGGTGTAAAGTTTCAACAAGTTCTGAATACTATTTCGGTTTTTATAAACATATGTCTACGATGATTATGAGTTATTTTACCTTTTTATAAAATTGTAAAAATTTTTTTTTTTTAATTAAATGGTAACAGATGCTGAAAAACGTTTTTTTTTTCTTAAATTGCGGTGATATAGTCCTTTCAGGTGTAAAGTTTCAGCCCATTCTGATGCCTCCTTCCACTTATATCAACACATGTCCACAATGACTATTTTCATATAAAAATGCAAGAAAAACTCGGTTTTATCGAAATGAGTAACCGGTACAG